CTTCTAGACAAAGTTCTGTTACCCACCTCTAGAGCTAAGTGTGAGCTTAAAGCAACATGTCACCATTCCCAACCATTTTTAAGCTTTATTTCTAACCAGAATAAAAAGATTTATTAAAAAAAAATTCCTGAGAAATCAGAAATGAAAGAGGAGATATTAAGATATTACAACTGATACCACAGAAAAATACAGAGGATCATAAGAGACTGCTATGAACAATTATACTCCAACAAATTAAACAACCTAGAAGAAATGGATAATTTCCTAGAAATCTACAAGCTACCAAGACTGAATAATGATGAAATAGAAAATCTGAACAGAATGATGACTAGTAAGGAGATTGAATCAGTAATTAAAAACCTCCTAACAGGGACTTCCCTGATGGCACAGTGGTTAAGAATCTACTTGCCAATGCAGGAGACACAGGTTTGATCCCTGGTCCATGAAGATCCCACATGCCCCGGAGCAACTAAGCCCATGTGCCACAACTACTGAGCCTGTGCTCTACAGCCTGCAAGCCACAGCTACTGAGCCCATGCACCACAACTGCTGAAGCCTGCATGCTCTAGGGTCTGCATGCCACAACTACTGAGCCCGTGTGCCTAGAGCCCATGCCCTGCAACAAAAGAAGCCACCTCAATGAGAAGCCCTCACATTGCAACGAAGAGTAGCCCCTGCTTGCCGCAACTAGAGAAAGCCCACACACAGCAATGAACACCCAACGCAGCCAAAAATAAAATTAAAAACAAGCAAACAGGGCTTCCCTGGTGGCGCAGTGGTTGAGAGTCCACCTGCCGATGCAGGGGACACGGGTTCGTGCCTCAGTCCGGGAAGATCCCACGTGCCACGGAGCGACTGGGCCCGTGAGCCGTGGCCGCTGAGCCTGCGCGTCCGGAGCCTGTGCTCCACAACGGGAGAGGCCACAACAGTGAGAGACCCGCGTACCGCAAAAAAAAAAAAAAAAAAAAGAAAAGAAAAACAACAAGCAAACAAACCTCCTAACAAACAAAAGTCCAGGACAGAATGGCTTCACTGGTGAGTTCTACCAAACATTCAAAGAAGAATTAATAACAATTCTTCTCAAACTCTTCCAAAAAATAAAATAGGAAGGAGAACTTCCAAACTCATTTTACGAGGCCGGCATTACCCTGATACCAACCAGACAAAGATATCACATAAAAAGAAAATTACAGTTCAGTATTCCTGATGAACATAGATGTAAAATTCCTCAACAAAATGTTAACAAAGAGAATTCAACAATACAGTAAAAGGATCATACACCATGACCAAGTGAAATTTATTCTGGGGATGCAAGGATAGTTCAAAATCCACAAATCAGTCAGTGTGACACACCACATTAACAAAATGAAGGATAAAAATATATGATCATCTCAAAAGATGCAGAAAAAGCTTTTGACAAAATTCAATATCTATTTATGATAAAAACTCTCAACAAAATGAGTATAGAGAGAGCATACCTCAACATAATAAAAGCCATATATGACAAGCCCATAGCTAACATTATACTCAATGGTGAAAATCTGAAAGCTTTTCCTCTAAGATCAAGAACAAGACAAGGATGTCTACTCCCACCACTTTTATTCAACATAGTATTGGAAATCCTAGCCAGAGCAATTAGGCAAGAAAAAGAAAAATCATCTAAATTGGAAAGGAAGAAGTTAAACTGTCACTATTTGCAGATGACATGATATTATATATAGAAAACTCTAAAGACTCCATCAATAAACTATTAGAAGTAATAAGCAAATTCAGTAAAGTTATAGGATACAAAATCAATAGACAAAAATCTGTTGTATTTCTATACACCAATTACAAACTATCAGAAAAGTTAAGAAAGCAATCCCATTTACAATTGCATTAAAAAGATAAAATACCTAAGAATAACTTTAACCAAAGAGGTAAAAGACCTGTATATTGAAAACTACAAAACATTTATGAAAGAAATTGAAGAAGACACAAATAAATGGAAGGATTCCATGCTCATGGATTAGAAGAATTAATATTGTTGAAATGTCCATACTAGCCAAGGAAATCGACAGATTCAGTGCAATTCCTATCAAAATTCCAATGGTGTTTTTCACAGAATTAGAACAAACAATCCTAAAAATTTTATGGAACCACAGAAGATCCTGAATAGCCAAGGCAATCTTGAGAAAGATGAACAAAACTGGTGGCATCACACTCCCTGTTTTCAAACTATATTATAAAGCTATAGTAACTATAAACAGTATTGTACTGGCATAAAAACAGATACATAGATCAGTGGAACAGAATAGAGAGACCAGAAATAAATCCATGCATATATGGTCAATTATTTTATGACAAATTACAAGAATATACAGTGGGGAAAGGACAGTCTCTTCAATAAATGGTGTTGGGAAGAATGGACAGTCACATGCAATAGAATGAAACTGAACCAGTATTTTATACCATACAGAAAAATTTACTGAAAATGGATTAAAGACTTGAACGTAAGACCTGAAACCATAAAACTTCTAGAAGAAAACATAGGTTGTAAACTCTTAGACACAGGTCTTGGTGATGATTTTTTGAATCTAACACCAAAAGCAAAAACAACAAAAGCAAAAATAAACAAGTGGAAGTACATCAAACTAAAGAGCTTCTGCACAGTAAAGGAAACCATTAACAAAATGAAAAGGCAACTAATGAATGGGAGAAAATTATTGTGAATCATATATCTATTTAGGACTAATATCCCAAATATATTAAAAAACAAAACAAAACAAAAACCCTTACACAGTTCAATAGCAAAAAAATGCCAAACAATCTGATTAAAAAAAATGGGCAGAAGATCTGAATAGACATTTGTCCAAAGAAGACATACAGATGGCCAATGGGTACATAAAAGGATTCTCAACATCACTAATCATCAGAGAAATACAAATCAAAACCACCATGGGATATCACCTCACACCTGTTAGAATGGCTGTTATCAAAAAGACAAGAAATGACAAGTGTTGGAGAGGTTGTAGAGAAGAAGAAACCCTTGTGCATTATTGGTGGGAATGCATACTAGTGCAGCCACTATGGAAAACATTAGTGAGAATCCTCAAAAAATTAAAAATATATAGAACTCCAATAAGATCCGCGAATTCCACTTTTCGGTATTTACCTAAAGAAAATGAAAACACTAACTCAAAAAGATATATGTACCCCCATGTTCATTGCTTCCAAGACATGGAAGCTACCTGAGTGTTCATCAATAAATGAGTGGATAAAGAAGATATGGGATATATATATATATATATATATATATATTCACAATGGAATATTATTCAACCATTAAAAAGTAAATCTTGCCATTTGCGGCAACATGGATGGATCTAGAGTGTATTATATTATGCTAAGTGAAATAAGTCAGACGAAGGCAAATACTGTATGATCTCTCTTATGTGTAGAATCTAAAACAGTAAACAAACAGAAAAACGTAAAGACACCACAGGTCATAGATACAGAGGACAGACTGGTGGTTGCCAAAAGTGAAGGGTGGGAAGTGAGACAAATGGGTGAATTTTTTTTTTCAGTTTAAATAAATTGAATAAAAAATTTAAATAATAAAAAAAGAATCCCTAGTGTCAATAAATAAACAGGGTGAGGGTTGAGGTGGGTGTTCTGAAATGACACAGTATAACCAATCCAGCTATTCTGGTGATTCCAAAGAGAGACTAGCCACGTGGCCTATATCAGAGACGGTCAGGAGCCCTGCTGCTCAGGCTGAAGGTGACTGCCATCCAGGACCTCAGAGTTAGCCTTGCAGTGAATGGTTCAGGAAACATAAGGTGCTAGACTTCCAGAGATCTGTAAGGGAGTCCATTCTGTCCCTGTGATGCTATTAGCTTCTCTCTCTCTTTCTAGTTGTCAGTGACATGAATCTCAGCTCCATTCTACATGGATTATTTCTGATCTAATTCTAACAGCCCTAAGATTTCAAGAGATAGATATAAAAACCAGATGGATATTACAAGAAAATCGGATTGTTCTGCAGTGAGTGAGATATGGAAAGGCCTTTTCCCAACCAAGCAGTAGACAGAATTGTCATAGTAAGTTGTGTTTGAAATAAAATGGTTCATAGATCTGAGGTGACACTGCATTTGGTAAAGTATGAAATTGGTTCCTCTGTTGGGCAGAATGAGGATCAAAAAAGAAAAAACACAAATAGTTTACTCTTTATTATGTTATGATCTGCCTCAGTTCACAAATATCTACCTATACCTGTATCTAGAGCGATAAGATTCTATAAAAGGCTACATATTTACTATGTTTTCATGCTTGGTCCAGAGCAAATCTGGTTTGAACCTGCAGATAAATTATCCCCAGCTCTAGAATGCTATAGGGTTGACTTTAAATAGGCACCTGCTAGATTTCCAACATGACAGATGAAAGTGTCCTGCATCCATTAGTCAATTATATCTCCTCTTTTACACTTCAGTCCATACATTAATGCACCCTTGACACTTTTTCAGTTCACTCTTCCATCTTCCTTAATCATTTTGGCACGCAACTCACTTGCTTCTTCTGCCACGTCTGCCAATATCCTTGGCATCCCAGTCAAGTTCATGACCATTTTGGCACCCTACACATAACACTTTTTATTGAGGTTTTTACACATATATTTTTATGCCTCTGAACACTGTAACTTTAACCAACTTTACATTTCCCAAACGGAGACCATAATGTTGCACTGCAAAAATGTGGGTGTAACCAATATTTGCTATGCCCCAGTGTGTGTGGGGACAGCTTTTATCTGAGATTCACCCTTCTCACCATCCCTGTCATCTTTAATCTTCCGTAGAGTCTAGCATCTATCAAGCTATGATGGTAGAAGAGGGCTTTTAAAATGTAATCAGTCTGAAAAGTAGATGCACTTCTATCTTAGGAAAAATTCATGAGAAAACTGGCAGGAAGCTCATCTTAGTGCAAAATATCTGCTTATTCCTTTGTCTCTGTTCTATAGGCCAGATCACTTCAAGGGACCCGCCGCCTTTGCCAGTCTCCCAGCTTTCAAAGGCCTCTGTCCAGCAGTGGATCAAACACCTAGTAACTCACCCAGGGGCAGAGGTAAGTGGAGACAGCCGTGATTGCTATTTACTCATTTGTTTTTGAAAGGCTGTAAAGGGGCTGCGGGAAAGGGTATGCAGGTCGAAGATTGGGGGTGTTCTCTATCCAAAAATGGGGCTCACGAATGCCCTATGACCATGGACGGAGCTAGAGGGCAGGTTGGAATAGGTGAGAGAAGTTATTTCCAAATCACTATCATCTTGTGGACTTTGAATGTATTATTAAATATTATTAAAGATCCTCTAGGATTCCACGTTAACATTTAGGCAGCTAACAGTTAAATCTTTAAGTCCCATAGCAAGTGGTGAGTGTTGGTGTTTTACTTAGGAATGGCACAATCTGAAGGTCTAGGTGAAGTACAGCTTTGGACTGGAGAAGGAAAAGGAGTTATTTCCAGAAGAAGGTGCTAAAGCAGGGCTCTGGGCCAGTTTGTTGAAAGCCAGTTTACTAAAATTAACTTCATGAATGACCAATTTCCTGACTCATGAGGGTTTTGTTTATAAGTTTTAGTATAGTTCCTGCCGCTACCTCTGCCTCTCCTCGCTCCTGCCTCTGAACTTGACCCTGCCTCTCTAACAAAGGAGCCTGGGCAAACCTCTGAGACGGGGCAAGGGAAAGCACAGGACGATGATGAAACTAAAACTTTTTAAACATTCCCCCAAATTTTGCAAATTGGGCATTTGGCAAATTGTTTTGGGCAAATTGTTTTTCAGTGTAAATCAGTGGTTCAGTAAATTAGCTTGCTTCCCCAAAGCAGAGCTATTTCTTAATTGTCCCTCTCTTTCCTAGCACGGGCTCCTGTCTCTTTCACACTCAGTTAAAATAAGGAGGGATGAGATCTATGAAGACATGCACACCCAGCTATGCACACCACAAGATGACACGAGTATACCTGGGTGTACAAACCAGTTATAAAATCTGAGTCTCAAGGTGCAGAAAGACTTCTCAAAGGTCATCGCTTTCCCCACTGCTACAATCTTGCCTATTGTGAGGCAGCTTAGAAGCAAAAATCACCAGAATTCTTGTGTTTAGTCTTTCTGACCACAGTGGGTTTTTAGTTATTAAAGTTGAATAATCAAATTTAAGAATTATCCCAACCTGTATCCCCAGGCACAATCCCTCTCTGATTTTCTTGGCTGTGAATCTTTCCCACTAAGTGTCCTGAGGCTCTATAAAAGCATTCAAGGTCATTGTTCCCTCAAGTCTCAGATGTCTTAAATGCCAGTGTCTCCCACTGCATGTTCCTTGTTTCTTTGGCTGCTACACATTCTTTTATTGCTTCCATCAGAATCTAAGCCTGTTGGAAAGGTCCTTAAAGGAAATCTGAGAAGTTCAAAAGAAAGTGGCAGAGGAATACAAATTAGAAAAACAATGATATACTACCTGTAACCTGTAAAACTGGCAAAGCATACAAAAAGGAGCGACACCCGTGTTGGCTCATAATGGTGAAAATACAAATTGGCACCACGTTTCCAGAAGGGCATTTGCAAACACACTAACTGAGTATCTTAAAATATCCACTGACCTTCAATTTCTCTTCTAGGATTTTTCCTAAGGAAATACAAATGTATATAAAGATTATTATCCCAGTGATATGTACTATTATAAAAAATGGAAATAGCTTTAATGTTGATCCCTATGGGATTAACTGAATATATTGTGCTATATTTATATATGATAAAGAATATTATGCACATATTAAAATGATCACAATATATTAAATGAGGAAAACAATAGATTTTTAACAGTTACGTTTAATGTCATAATGCTTTGTAGGATGGCATATACAACGTTAGGAAAAAAAGGTCATTAGTTCACATATTAAATTAAATGACAGCATTTATCTCTAGGTTAAGTGATTATGGGTGAATTTTATTCCCTTTTTTTCTAGATCTATATTTTCCAAATTTTCTACAATTAACATGTTTTCAACAAAGTAAGCTTAGTTTTGACCTCTTACGTATTTTTCTTTTAAAAGTAATTTCATGGTTTTCCTTTATGACATAATTAAGAAAGGAAAGAGGTCAAAAAGTTAGTTCTAGTTCCCGACCAGAAGGAACTACACAATACCTTTCTCTCCCTTTTAACCAGTACCTTTCTTTATAATACGGTATCAGAAAAGATAGTGGACACATCGGAGGGAAGTTAAAAACAAAATACACGCATACAAACACACACACAAACACACACACACCTTAAATGGTAAGATAGCAGCAAGATGCAGCCGATTTCAAAAGAGGGAAATCAAACGCTATTCAGTTTCCTGTTCCTTCTCGAAACTCAAGCTCCCTGATCAGTACATTTGGGAAGGGATATATTTCCTTCCTCCCTCTCGCCCTTTTAAAAACAAGCTGTATTTAACGCAGCAGCAAGGCATGAAGTAAGGCGCTGGTCGGACCCCTGGCTGCAGGATGAGGGGATAGAAAACGCAGAGCAGGAAATTGCTGCACAGTGCACGGTGAGGGCACATAGGAGCTGCTCAGGGAAAGGTGCCTATTATAACTATTATCGTTTGGTCTAAAAAAAAAAAAAGAAAAGAAAAGAAAAATCAGGACAGCCCTCTTTGGAAAACAAACAGGAGCACTGAGCTAGCGTCACCGGTTCACAGGCAGCTGACATCTGTACGCAGCAGCCAGTCAACAAGAAGAGCTACTGAGCCGTTTCCAGGGTTTCACGGGAAGGAGGAAGAGTCCTGAGAGCCCATCTCCCCTCTGGGGAAATGGGAGGCTTGGGCCCCAAATGCGCCTCTCTCTCTGGACTGTCAGCACCGGCAGGCGGGGTGGTCACCCGGCCTGACCGTGCGCTCTCGGCGTTGCGTAATCATCCCGGGGCTGCCTCCTGCCCGCGCTTTGTCGGAGGCGCCACCTGATGGACAGACAGGAAAACGGCTCTCTCGCTGACATCTCCTTGCCCCAGGCTTTCGCCACCTTTAGTATTTTCTCACTGTGCACGAGAAGGGAATTTTCTGCAGAGAAAGAGAAGCAATGAACCTTCACCCCGCAGCACAAAGCATCCACTGGAGCATTTGTCAGTAGACAGCTTCCGTGGGAGGAAGGGGTCATTCTCAGTAGTTTCCCCATGTGGCTCGGGTTCTTGCCTTAAGCCTGTACACTGAGGGATGGACGGGCCAGGCCTCCCTCTGACAGAGCAGAGAATGGGTCAGGCAGGATTTCTTAGTGTCTGGGGGAACCTGAGGGGGCGAGATTACAGCCTTCTCTTGCCTTTTTTTTTTTTTTAACATCTTTATTAGAGTATAATTGCTTTACAGTGGTGTGTTAGTTTCTGCTTTATAACAAAGTGAATCAGCTATACATATACACATGTTCCCATATCTCTTCCCTCTTGCGTCTCCCTCTCTCCCACCCTCCCTATTCCACCCCTCTAGGTCGTCACAAAGCACCGAGCTGATCTCCCTGTGCTATGCGGCTGCTTCCCACTAGCTATCTATTTTACGTTTGGTAGTGTATGTATGTCCATGCCACTCTCTCACTTCGTCCCAGCTTACACTTCCCCTCCCTGTGTCCTCAAGTCCATTCTCTATGTCTGCGTCTTTATTCCTGTCCTGCCCCTAGGTTCTTCAGAACCATTTTTTTCCGTTAGATTCCATATATATGTGTTAGCATACGGTATTTGTTTTTCTCTTTCTGACTTACTTCACTCTGTATGACAGTCTCTAGGTCCATCCACCTCACTACAAATAACTCAGTTTCATTCCTTTTTATAGCTGAGTAATATTCCATTGTATATATGTGCCACATCTTCTTTATCCATTCCTCTGTTGATGGACACTTAGGTTGCTTCCATGTCCTGGCTATTGTAAATACAGCTGCAGTGAACATTGTGGTACATGACTCTTTTTATTTTTTTTTGTAACATCTTTATTGGAGTATAATTGCTTTACAATGGTGTGTTAGTTTCTGCCCTATAAAAAAATTAATCAGTTATACATATACATATGTTCCCATATCTCTTCCCTCTTGCGTCTCCCTCCCACCCTCCCTATCCCACCCCTCTAGGTGGTCACAAAGCACCGAGCTGATCTCCCTGTGCTATGCGGCTGCTTCCCACTAGCTATCTACCTTACGTTTGGTAGTGTGTATATGTCCATGCCACTCTCTCACTTTGTCCCAGCTTACCCTTCCCCCTCCCCATATCCTCAAGTCCATTCTCTAGTAGGTCTGTGTCTTTATTCCCGTCTTGCCCCTAGGTTCTTCATGACCTTTTTTTTTTCTTAGATTCCATATATATGTGTTAGCATCCAGTATTTGTTTTTCTGTTTCTGACTTACTTCACTCTGTATGACAGACTCTAGGTCCATCCACCTCACTAGAAATAACTCAATTTCATTTCTTTTTATGGCTGAGTAATATTCCATTGTATATATGTGCCACATCTTCTTTATCCATTCATCTGTTGATGCACACTTAGGTTGCTTCCATGTCCTGGCTATTGTAAATAGAGCAGCAATGAACATCTTGGTACATGACTCTTTTTGAATTATGGTTTTCTCAGGGTATATGCCCAGTAGTGGGATCGCTGGGTCATATGGTAGTTCTATTTTTAGTTTTTTAAGGCACCTCCATACTGTTCTCCATAGTGGCTGTGTCAATTTACATTCCCACCAACAGTGCAAGAGTGTTCCCTTTTCTCCACACCCTCTCCAGCATTTATTGTTTCTAGATTTTTTGATGATGGCCATTCTGACCGGTGTGAGATGATATCTCATTGTAGTTTTGATTTGCATTTCTCTAATGGTTAGTGATGTTGAGCATCTTTTCATGTGTTTGTTGGCAGTCTGTATATCTTCTTTGGAGAAATGTCTATTGAGGTCTTCTGCCCATTTTTGGATTGGGTTGTTTGTTTTTTGATATTGAGCTGCATGAATTGCTTGTATGTTTTAGAGATTAATCCTTTGTCAGTTGCTTCATTTGCACGTATTTTCTCCCATTCTGAGGGTTGTCATTTGGTCTTGTTTATGGTTTCCTTTGCTGTGCAAAAGC